CTCTCGAGTCCAGAACCAATCAGTTCCCTCACTGGCTCAGTTTTTGGAAGTGGCAGCTCAGAGCAGCAAACTAGTACTTTTTGACCTGCGGAAGCCACCGTCCAGTCATCCCTACAGGGACTCCTACATCAACAGCACTCTGCAGGTGGTGCAGGATCACATCAACTCCTCCCTGGTAACTATGGCCAAGAGTTTTGTTGTAGAATAGAACTTTTGATTTGTTTGTGACAGGCTTGTGGTTTTTGAGCTTTATAAGCTTGAAGGTTGACAGGCAAGACATAACATTTAATTTTAATTAACTTGGCAAATCCGAGAGATTTGATGATTTAAATCTAAGGTCTTTTTTGATTATTTGGTGTTTATTTTTGTATTCATGTGATTTTATATATATATATATATATATATGTATATATATATAATATATATATAGATATATATATAGATATATATGTATGTGCATCACTTGCAGCAATGGAGTTTTCATGTCCTAGTTCACATGCCATACATGTGTGCAGGTGCTGTGGCTGCCGTCCGAGGACAGAGAGTTTGTCCACACGATAGATCCAGACCTTCAGCAGACCTCTGGAGTAAAGGCTTCTATTCAAGAGCTGACTGACAGCCACATCACTAGACTAAATCTTCACTACAGCACCATGTCTCAACAACAAATAAAGTACATATACAAAATTCTGCATTTTTTATATTTAATTAGTATTTATTGTACAGTAATTTTCACAGTTGTGTAAAAGGAGTTTATTCACTCTCATTCACACTAAATTCAGTCCACGTTTTATGTATATAAAACAAAGACAAATGTTAAAATGTTCAGCCATTGTTATGTATATACACTCACCATCATTTGTCTCTGTCTTTATTTAGGAAGTACCAGTCAGTGAACATCAGCACTAATCTCTATGTGATCAGTCAGCCGTGGCTCTACACTCTGGCCTGGTGCGCAGGTGCTCAGTCTGTGACATCCAACTCCATCCACATCCTGTCCAGTATTAACAAGCCACTCTTCCTTATGGTAAGTAAAATCAAGTCCTTAGTATTTGGTCAGAAACCATTTTCACTGTCAAGTCTTATCAGTTTTACCTGTATTGTCCAAATTCACAAAACACATTTTTTCTAAAGGAACTGTAAGCCTTTGGGATGAAAATGATGTCTCAAAATGATGAGTAGAATTAGTTTTGTAAATATTACATCGATGTGGATTATCATCCAGAAAAAAAATCAAAATTTTATCTTTCTCCACATTTCTCATCAAAATAGTATTTTGAAAAAAGTTTAGAAAGTTTTTTTTGAAAAACTATAAAAAAAATTTTTTTTAAATGGTCAGATGTTGAAAAGTTTTGATGAAAATCATTGGAAAAAACATTTTTCAAAATTTTCTGTCAAAATGTGAACTTTTTGTCATTTTTTTCATGTCAAAACTAAAGAATTTCAATGAAAATTTTTGTAAAATTATTTTTCAAAATCTCATCTTTTCCTGTATGTTTCTCTAAAATTAGGGCATATAGAGAACATTTTTAGAAATGTATTTTTCTAAAACATTCTGTCAAAATGTGAACTTTTCAAGTCATTTTTGGTCAAAAAGTACGAATGATGAATTTTTTGTAATTTTGTAAAAGAAATTTAGATTTTTCCACGATGGTAAGGCT